AGGCAATACGATTGCTTCAGTATAGGTGCAGCTGCAAAGGTCTGTAGACCAGACCTTTGTCATGCTTCCTTGCAAACTTTCTGCTTTGTTGGAAAAAAACCATAAAACCGAGCAGAAGTGAATTATGTGAAAGTCATTTAGCTGTCAAAATTTTAACTGATGTAACAAAATGTAACAAAAATATGGTTCCGTTTCTTCTATTTAAAAACTGAAACTGTTTACTAGGAAAATCGTGTAGTTTTTGACATCTCTGCTGAAATTGAGTGTGAGTTTTAGTATACGCAGGTAAATAGAGTTCTTCAAAACATGTCTTATCATTTAAGTAGGTCTGCGGTTTTGAAATCTTTATAAATATTCTCCTGTTGAACTGCTCTTTTGGACTTCAACTTACTTTGTAAGTCACTTTTCTGTTTTTGCCTATCTCCATTTTCTCATCCTCTTTCCATAGACACTTGTAGATTACTTGAGGTTGGGAGGGACCTCAGAAGGTTCTCTAATCAACCCCCTGCTTAAACCTTGGCAACTGTGAAAAGATCTGGTTGCCTCCAGGCTCTAGTGCCTGACCACTTTCACTGTGAAGATTTTTAATTTCTTCATCTGATGAGAATTTCCCTTGTTGCAGCCTGACTGCTGCCTCTCATCCTTGTGCTGTGAACCTCCAAGAAACATTTGACTGAAGGCAGCATTTATACTCCCCCTCCCTGCCTTTAGCCTGATGTTCTGCAGATGGAACAAACCCACCTCTTTCAACCACTTCTTGTGCATCATGTGCTACAATCCCTGGCCATCCTGATGGCCTTTCTCTGGGCTGTGGAGTCTCCAGCTCTGGAGATGTTCAAAACCCACCTGGACACTTTCCTGTGCAACCTGCTGTAGGGAACCTGCTTTGGCAGGGGGGGTGTTGGACTAGGGGATCTCCTGAGGTCCCTTCCAACCCCAGCCATTCTGTGATATGACTCTGCAATAATTTCTGTCTAAGCTTCCCTTGTCCAGCTCTCCCAGCCAACTGCAAACTTAACTTAAAATTCTTGTTGCCAACTGCTGCTTTCTTTGAATAAGTGATTGATTAATTTAATATCTGTATTCTGTGTTATTCTGTGTGTTTTATGGTGTGGAAGTTGTAGTAGATTTTTATAGTTGGGAAGATGATTTGTACTTCCCAGGGGAGATTTCTTTTCAGCTGTGAGGTGTTGTGAGCATTAGTGCAGAACAGGAGCTTTCCTTTCTGTAGTATTGATGGGGGTGAGTATTCAATCCTCTTCCTCCTCCCCTACAAGAAGATCAAAGATGAAACAGAACACTGAAAGTCACCACACATCCACTAAGGATCATCCTTTTTTGTTGTCTTTGTTTGCCTCTGTTTTGTTCTTTTCTGAGGTGAAAGCTGTTCCCCGTGGAGCCTTGCCCTGTGGTTGTACACCTGCCTCTGGTATCGCTCATACTACAGCGAGTAACTAGCAGTCTTGAGATCCAGTGCTTTGGGTGCTTGGGTTTCAAAACACATAGCTAGTATTTTCATAGGTGGGTGTGAGACGAGTTGTGTAAAGTGTAGGATGTGAAAATAATTATATATTTGTTCCTCTCCTTTAATGAAGGGAGTCTGTAGGAATAGGATAACTAAGCAGGAGCACTGTGTGTGCCAGTCTTCCTGGAGAGGCAGTGCAGCAGTGTGGGGTGCAGGGTACTCTCTTCTCTTCTGCTGTGTCTGTACTATGCTTCTCATCCTCTGGTTAGCACAAAAGTGGCTGATCTAATTTGGATTTAACTGTATCATAGAATCATAGAATGGTTTGGGTTGGAAGGGACCTTAAAGATCATCCAGTTCCAACCCCCCTGCCATCAGCAGGGACACCTTCCACTAGACCAGGTTGCTCAAAGCCTCATCCAGCCTGGCCTTCAACACTTCCAGGGAGGAGCAGCCACAACTTCCTTGGGCAACCTACAAATACAACCTGTACAAATATTTCTTTACCAAATCAGCATTGCTTACACTAATACTTTCAAAAAAGCTTTGAGATAGATGTTACATTTCTGAAACATGTGTGATGTAGGCACGTTGGGATACCAGGATATATCAGATTATTAAGCATCTGTGGTGCTCAGCCTGTGTTTTGCGGAGAAAGAAACTTAATATTTTGTTAAACTTAGTTTGTGGTAACTGGTATTGAAGTGACTCCCTTGTTTGTATTTTCAAATTTACTTCCTTCCATTCAAGGCTCGAATTGCCTGTGTGCTTCTGTCCTTGCCTATGTGCTCTCCCAGTTGGCTACTGGTTCTCCTTCTGAATGTGCCTGCCCCCGCCCCCCAAGTTCATTCATATGCTTTTCACATAAACACTCATCAGTTCTGTGAGGGATGATTTTCTGCTGGGTTACAGAGCCTGTTTTCTTTTACACACAGCAACAGATACCAAAACATTATTTGAAAGTCTGATGGCATTTCAGAAAACACTTCTTCCAGCGCAAAGTGCCATATAGAATGGGTGTAATTGTTTTCAGTAATTTTTGATAGTAGATTTTCAAGCGACACCTCTTTGTTATGTTGACTGGTTGGCAAATGTTACATTTAAGAATAGAACTTCTCACTTTCTAATACTCTTTTTACACCTCTTATGCCAAAATGTATGACTTGACATCCTGTGATGCGTATACCTCTGTATTCAACACCCATTCCTGCCAGATAGCCTTGCAGAAAACTGCTTGTTATAACCTTGTTATTACTTAGGTGGGAAGACCTGAAGATCAAGAAGCTGCAGGGCTTGGTTTTAATGATCCAGTTCAGAGCATGTCTCTTGCTGAGTAATATCCTATCATTGTCTTAACAGCCTCAAATCATCATCCAATAATAGATAACCGTGACTTAAAAATGAGGTCATGAATGCTCGTAGTCATCACAGTTTTACTTGTGGATAAAGGAATGGCTTATCTCTCCATCTGATTACATTTTGAATGTGGAAATCATTTCCTGCTTGCTTCCTTCAGTACTTAAACTTGTAAATAGCAGCTTTTTCAGTTCTGACCATAATAGTTCTGAGCTTACCTGCTTCTCTGGCTGAAGGAGGGTCCTGTCTTTTAGGAGTCCTTGTAAATAAAAATTGTTCATAGCAGGGTACAAAACCGTCTTCAAAGGTTAAACATCTCCCTTTGGATTAAATGGATGTTTCCAGTTAGTCTTAGTAGCCCATAGACAGGCAGGCACAGAGCTTACTCAGTCTTGATCCTTATTGAGCTATTGAGGTTGTCAGTTCGAGTGAAAATTACTTTTTAATTTTCAGGGTGGTAATAGCAGTAAGATGTCATCAGTACTATGTTGTGTTAAGTTAAGCTTCCCATTAAATGCAACAAGCTGTGTTAGATCATGTTTGGATGTTAATATTGATGTTCCTGTTTTATTTGCCACTGTAGCATCATGATCTCAAGGCATCGCTTCTTTCATCAGCATTTGTAAATAAGTTACTGGATTAATATATAATATATTGCTTGTATTTTGAGTATGTGTCCCCATGGTTATACAGTTGTGATGGTAGCAAATCTAGAAGACAGATGGGGGTAAATTTTTTAATAACTATTTGAAGAGTCACTAGATCTTGTCTACTGCAAGTCCTGGTTGAACAAAATTTGGATAGCTTTATTTTAGCTAGCCAAGCTTGGGTTTTGTATTACCAGCCTCATCCAGGCTGGATGAGGTGTTGAGCAGCCTGGTCTAGTGGAAGGTGTCCCTGCTGATGGCAAGGGGGTTGGAACTGGATGATCTTTAAGGTCCCTTACAACCCAAACCATTCTATGGTTCTATGATTTGCTGTGCTCCTGACTGTCCTTTCAGTTAACAACCCACTTTGTTGTAACTAAATTAATCTGCCAGCTTCTGGCATTGTAGCTAGAGGCTCACTTTTTCACTTACATTTCATTTGCTCTTTTGAAAGTCTTGATTGTGTTGTATCGAGACTAAGCAGTATTTGAATGTTTCATTACTCACATTGAACCCGTGTCTAGGAGGGTTTACTGGTCCATTAAGAGGCCATAAATTTGAGATTACAGTTAATTCAAGTCATAATCTTCTAGTAAAACTTGATTAACTGGTAGCATGTAAGAATTATTTAGGTGTTTGAAAGCTGGGAGTTGTTAGTCAGAGACAGTGGTAAGTCCTTATGGTACTTCTATTGCAGGATCACTTAAGGCAACTGCAAAAGCAAGTGAGGACCAGGAACCTTGGCAGTGAGCAGAGTGGAGTTTCTATAGTGAGGTTCTGGTAGACCAGTGCCCTGGAGCTCTTCAATAAATTCTTCATTTTACTAGAAAGCCCCTTAGTTTTTGTGGAAAATATTACTGCATAGAATGAGCATACTGAGATTTTTTGTTATTGACCTTTCTTCACAAAACTGATGTTAATAATAACAAAAATTTCTGTATTGCAGATTTAATCCAGTGCACAAATGAGATGAATGTGAACATCCCACAACTGGCAGACAGTTTGTTTGAAAGAACTACCAACAGTAGCTGGGTAGTGGTCTTCAAATCCCTCATCACAACCCATCATCTAATGGTGTATGGAAATGAGGTAATACAAAAAATGATGTTTGAGAACAGTTGCAGCACTTCATTCCTGTAAACATCAGCTAAATGCTTCCACTGATTTTCTTTGTAAACAAAAATATTTATTTTTACCTTTTTTGTCTAACTCTACATGAACACAGGTCTCCTTATATGTTTGTCTACTTAGTTGGTTTATACTTTAAAGTTCATAATTCTACAAACAAAAGTAAGTGTCCTGAATGCTGGAGGTACCTTTTTCTGTGGTGTTAATCTAATAATAAAAAAAACCCCAACCAAACAAAACCAACACAAATTATCTTGAATGAGATTCTGAAAACTGAAAATGGAAGTGTTTTTAGGTTTGTGCTCTAGCTACCCCAGATGGTCTTTTCTCCCAGATAACTTGATTCTGAATGGATTTCCATCACTCCTTAAGCTTTTGCAGTGAAGGCAAATGTGTGCCTGTGGGGTGGCTTTGAGTATGAGCACCTAAAGAACACCAAATACTGTAGAACTATTAAACAGACAAAATCCCAATTGAAACAAAAAGGAATAAACTTACTTTGTTTCCACAACTTGAATTCCTCTGGGGCCTTATTTTTCAAGATGCTAAGCATAACAGCAGCTTGAATTTTTTGCATTTAAAAAAACCCCAACAACCTATACTTTTAAGACTTTCTTAGAAAGTGTTTGTAAACATTCCTTTTTACTGCAAACAGTCAGTGTAATATAAGCTATTTAAATTGTGGAATTAAGAGGGATACCTTTAGAAAATCACAAGTAGGATTTGGTAGAGATGATCAAAACTCTTCATTTCTGGTTGCATTCAGAGTTCTTATAGGCAGTGTAACGGGTTCCTCTGGCTGACTGGCTGCATTGTGAGAGGTTTAAAGTTTTTTAAAAAAATATGTATACTGGTTTCTCTTGAAGGCAGCTGCAGAGTTTTTCTGATCTTGGTGAAAATCTATGCTTTGAAGCTAAGAAAGCCACAAGAGGGCAAACTTCTCATGTTGACTTTAGGCATTTTCATTGGGATAATTGACACTTTCCAAAATCATCTGTACACTTCTGCTGTGCTTGCACTTTCTGAGTCATATAATTTTTAAACTCATACCAATACAATAGTAATGAAGGATATTTCATGAGACCATTGTCTGAAATACCTGTGATTTTAGGAATTAAACTGCCAAACAAATTTTACTTGCCAAATTACAGAAGTAATGAGGGTAAGATGAAACTTTTCACAGCTAGAAATAGTACTTGAACAACGAACATGGAAATTGAGTGCTTTTGAAAATGTGTAGGAGTTTATAGAGAATCTGAAAATCCCTTTGTTGATTAGAAAATCCACCAAACAAAACAACAAAAAACAACACTGAAAATTGTTTAGTCTTACAGCTTTTGCTTAATTCATTTATAGCCAAGTACTGAGTTCCATTACCCTCCTCCAGTCTTTTTTCTGTGTAACCTATGTATTTATGCTAATGAAAATAATTCAATAGTACATGTACACTAATCAGAACTATATTTTTTTCCTCTGACAAAGTGTTATTATAAGCAAAGGATTGGTTTATTTTTGTAGTAGCTCTCTATACAATGGTTCATAAGACAGAATTGTTTTTCCTACCAAATGAAGATGTGCTGCCAGTGATCTGAAATGTGTCTTACAAGATGAAAACAGCATCATTCATTTTTCTGAAATGTAATTTGGAATTATATGTAACTAATGAGATGTACTAAGTGTGATACTGTGTTAATGTTTTATGTGGATTCTTACATTTATTTAAGATTTGATTTATAAGCAAACTAACATATCACCTTATTTTCATATTTAAATTAAGTACCATAACAATTGTACACTGAGCTTTGGCTAATTGGTAAAACTAAATAAACTTTTAGAAATTGAAGGCAATGAAACAATTGTGAGCCTATAAAATGAGAATGTATTTGGGAGGATTTTTTCAGAAGTTTCCAATTCCATATTCTGGCTTAAAATAAACAAAGTCTTTCAGTCAGAGGCTTTCATGCAATATCTGTGTGACTTCACTTCTTCACAGACTTTTGCATAAAAAATACCTAGCTTCATTTGAAAATTTATCTTGAGTTTTTGTAATAGTTTCCAGATTTGAAATCAGTCTTAAAGAATAAAAGCTGAATTTCATAAAGTGGATAAAAAGAGTTTCTAGACTGTTACCTCAGTTCCAGCTCATTGGTAATATAGTAAAAGCATTAAAATTTTTCCTTTCATCTAGCGTTTTATCCAGTATCTGGCGTCCAGAAACACATTGTTTAATTTGAGCAATTTCCTAGACAAAAGTGGATTGCAAGGTAAGGCGCCTTTTTCATTAAAAGTTGGTAGTGTGCTGGGGGACAGTAAATACAACTTGGTAACTCTAATGGAATGTATCATTAAGAAGTAATTTTTCTGTCTGTTTTACCCCAGACTGTATTTCTTAATTTAAAACACTGTTGTGGCATGGGAAAAGCTGTCTGCTGGAGGAATCTGTTGCATCTTTTGGGAAAGGTTTACTTATAAATGCTTCTAACTTTCTTAGCTAAATAGATCTGACTTAGTATTCCTCCTTTGTCTGAAGAGATTTTTTCCATTTGGAAAGGTATATTTTGATCAGTGAGTTAAATTTCAAAAAAAATGCATCATTGTACAACAGATACAGCATGTCAGTGAGACAAGAACTGTGTCTAAAAAAATATAAATTACTTTTTTGGGGAATTGTGCAAAGACCATTCTGTCCATCTTTGAGACTAATTTATGGGCAAATAAGTTTCTGGTTCAGATTTTTCAACTGAAATACCTTTGTAATCTGTTAGCTGCAGTTCAGTGCAGTTCTGATCATACATGTAGCTGTCATCTTTTTTTTTTTCTCCTGAGGTGGTTTCTTCCTTTCTGCATTACTTTCTATGTAGCTGCTTCTAATTTTTGCCACAGATTTACTAAAACAGACACATGAAGTGGTTGCCTGGGGACAGAAACCTTCTCAGTGATAACCAAAGGTCTACAAAGTTGCCTCATTTTATTGACCCTGAACTTCCATGGTCTCACTATAGATTATGAACAGATCTTTTTCTTGGTCTGTATCCTTAGACTACCAATTATCAAAATATTTCCTATTGCTACTTTCATAGCATAGAAAAAATTGTCATATCTTAATGCTTCCCTCAATGCTATTTTTTTTTCTGTTCAGTTATGAATGAGAGAATATGTTGTGGGGTTGATGGAAACATCTTTGTGAATGCATAATATATTTTTTTTGGTAGTAATTTTTATCATAGCAGTGGGGGACTTGCATAAAAATGCCTTTTTTTGCTTTTGAAAGTAATTTCCTTAGAAAGTGAAGTAAACTTCTATGTGGTTCAGAACTCTCCTAGATATTTGCAGTATTGTCTGTTTGATTTACATGGTGGATATGATGACGTACAGTTCTTCATAACACAGATTAACTGTATAAAATCAGGCAAAAATCTAATGATTTTGATAATGATCTAATGATCTAGCTGTCTTGCAATAGTATCTTGTACTTTATTTAGAGTAGGTTTCTTGTTCTTTAATTGACTAGGTAAGTAATGAGCTTCTGAAACTTGATTTTTAGGTTATGACATGTCAACGTTTATCAGACGGTATAGTAGGTATCTGAATGAAAAGGCAGTTTCCTACAGACAAGTGGCTTTTGACTTCACAAAAGTAAAAAGAGGGTAAGGACTGTATTTATTTTGTTTTGCTTACCTTGAGGTTTTGTCTTGTGTACTGTCATTCAAGTGGAAAATAACCAATGTTGGCTCCAGTTGAGTACAGACAGAAATGTCTGCTTTTCTCAGTTGAGTATCTCCCGTGACACCCAAAGGCTCAACTGACCAGTTACGTATATTGCAAAAATATTTTACTTCACTTGTTGTAATTTTACTTCTTTAAACATTGACAGTTTAATATAAAGAAATGAAAAATGGTATGCCTCAAAGTATCAAAAAAGTAGAAGTCTGGACAAATCTTCCCCAGTGCATCGTGAAGTTTCTTTGTCTTGTGTGTAGTATAGGGTGAACTATATGCATATAGTATGGGGGGAACTATATGCATATATATGCAATTTACTTGTGTTTCTAGCTCTGGGATTTTTAAATGGCAGGTGTTTTGTGAAACACCTTGCCAGTCCTTCCTGGTGTTTCTTTGTTCTTGTCACAAAATGTCTGTATGAAGTTTCCCACCTTTGAGTGCAGTTCACACTTTTAACGGAATGTTGCAGTAGATGCTATTCTGAATTTGGAATTAAAATTCAAGAATTAAAATACAGGAATTAATTTTTTTCCCTGGAAAGTAAGCTCCTTTAAGAGAAATCGGTTGTTTGAGACTAGGTACCTGTTTACATGTAAAATAACACATTTTGGAGCACCAGTAGTTGGGTAAATCACGTGTTATAGTGAACAATGGAATTTGGAGACCTCCTTTATTGGGAAGGCTGGAGAGGATGTTACTGGTCACGGTTGAAAGTGTTTCTGTCTTTGTTCATTATCTCTCTATGCAGTGCTTTTTAAGTTTAGAAACATAATTTTAGTTTTACATTTGGGCATCCTTTATCATCCATACACAGGATAACTTGTCTTGATGCTTAAAAGTTAATTCTTAGCTAACCCAAAAATCTCAACCTAAAACTGTTAAATGATTTAACTGCAGTAGTGAGCAACATAATGATATCTTGCATTAGTGTTAAAATGCCATTTGAAATTGGCCTGAGAACACTGTCCAAATCCCTTATGCCTCCTTGCTAATACTGTACAGTCCATTTTGGTTTGCAATGTGATGGTAAAGTAAAAAGGGAATCCTTGGGCTCCTTCCACTGTTTCTGCCTTTAGAGATGATTGGAGTCCCAGCAACATAAAACACTCAGCTTTTTCCATGTGTGGGACCTGTGTGTGGTCAGGTGGCTACAGATACACTTGGGAGTTCTGCGGTTGCTTTATAATCAGGTGGTTTAGGGCTAATAAGGTGAATTATTTACTCCACAATA